CTGACCTAGGGAGGATTTTATTTAGGGTGATTTTAAAAATAATTTTAAATAGAGACACAGCTTCTAATATTCGGTTTTTTAATCTGGTTTTACAGGGGTTTGTATTTTTATGCTTTGTATTTGTACTGTTTTTAATACGCTGTGCACCGCCCTGAGTCCTGCGGGAGAAGGGCGGTATATAAATTAAATTAATAAATAAGAAATTCTGGACTCAATTGTCATAAGTCAAGGACCACCTGTAGAAGGTTTTAATTTGGACAACACTGGCTCCCTAGGCTAGGAAACTGAGATGAGCACTGTCCCCTAGAGGCAGACACTACTGGACAGGGGAAACCTTTACCTTTTTAATTTGGATTCCTGCATAAGCCAGTGCAGGGCCTGGCCTAAGTAACTCCTTGTACGTTATAATTCTAGGAATGTAGTAACATCTGATAGGCCAATGTTTTACAATAAAGTCACTGCTTCTCAGCCCAACTCACCTCACAGGGTTGTTGTGGGGAAAATAGTAGTAAGAGTGTTGGTATGTTTGCCTCTTGACTTGGAAAAAAAAGGGCAGGATAAAAATCTAAAAAACCCTTCACAACTTTAAATTTTCAGCTCCCAGAATTCCCCAATAGTATGCATCTGGGATTTGAAGTACGCACATCTTAAAGTTACCAAGTTTGAAGAGCATTGGGTTATAGCTTTCTCGGCGCTTCTAAGCAACGTGCAGCGTAGTTAATCCTGTATCTCTAAATGTTTCTAGCCAAGGTTGATGAAAGTAGCTATTAGGATGGGATGGGATGAAGTGTCTATAATTCTAATACTAATGCAAAAGAGCTATGCCAGTTAAAGGTGCAGAAGTTGGTGTAAAGTAGGCAAATGGATGAAAAGATTAAAAATAGAAAAGTCTCTGCTCTGGAAAGGCAGGAAGCCCATCTTGTCAGAGTCCAATAACGCAGACTATGCCCACACTTTTTCTTTTATGCAATTATGTAAAGAGGCCTGGTAATCTCTAATTTAAATTGCTACAATACTTTATGAGCGGAGATATTTGAAACTAATGTGGAAACACTCAATACAAACTGTAATTACTAGTAACTATTAGGCTAGTCAGAGTATATTGTGCATCATTGGACTTGGCTTTATTTTGAAGCAATTTTTTTATCACTTGTAACCCAGAGATGTACAGAATAAGAATTGAAGTCATCTTCAGATACCTTATGCTAGCAGGAACATGGACAGTTCGCTTCTCTGGGGCCTCCTATCTTCATGCCTTGAGCTAAACTGAGATAGTGATCCAAATATCAATATGTAAAAAAAGGGTAATTTTTGCTCAGGGCAGCATCATAACCAGCTATTAGTATGTCTAATCGTCTGAAAGAAAAGAAGCACCATTTACCTCCGTGAGAATTATCCATTCATAAATTGATTACGTACCTTTGAATATGGATAAAAGTAACGATTCTGAACTACCATGCTATTAGTTGCAGGAAGTGCTGTTATGAAAAAGACATCCCTGTGACTATAGAGGAAAAATGGCTTCTCCTAAAATGGCACCCCATGCTTGCATACAGTATTTTTGTTTCGAGTATAATAGAAAATTAAATTGACCTGCATGAAGTTGCTGTCCATACTTTTTCATCATGGGACATAATGATATTTCATTTCTTACAAAGTTATAGGTATCAGCACTTTCTCTTGATTTAAAACAAAACAATTGTGGAAAGGGCAATTGATGTTAGAACATCAGCTGCCACTTGATGTGAGAAATATGTGCACACACCCCTCAGTTTAAGGATTTTTTTTTTACAGGGTACGCTCGAAGATGGACGCATTATTGATACCTCACTCTCCCGCGATCCATTGCAAGTGGAGTTGGGCAAAAGACAAGTCATACCAGGTAGACCTCTGTTCTTTATCTTCTGTTCTTTAGCATAAGATGCTTAGTTTGGCTGAGGGACGCACCAAGGAAAGCAGTAGGGAGAAATAAAAATCTCTTGTGTCCACAAATAGTCTTTGGCCAAAGAAACATACTTGATACTGTTTCTTCTCTAAATAAGTATTTTTTCTCCATACCACTATTCCTGTTGCCCCAAAAGTAGTTTGAACCTCTCCTTGCTTGATTTCATCATTTGACCCCAGCCTATACCTAAGAACTTTCAGTCATCTTTAGCTGTACCAGTGCTGAGGCAGTGTTCCCTCCCTTATCCTAACACTGGGTTTGCTCCGGATACAATCTGACATGCTTTACAGATTGTTGAGGTGATGCACTCAATTCACTTTTGGAGGTGGGATTAGCCTAACTTCTCTTGTTAGTGCAGATATGCTCCTTCCCCTCACCACACTCACGATGGCAGTATTGAAACTGCATGGTGAAGTGGAGAGAGGGAGTGATGACTATACCTCTGCTGCTTCCAACTCTCCCACACCTTTATATACTGTTCAGGCTGCTTTTGGATGCCTTTTTAGAATATCAAAAGGAATGGAGCCTGACTGTAGCTTAAAAGTCTTCCATTGAATGGTATCCATGCAAAATACTTGTATTAAACCAGAAGTTTTGACATGTGGCTAAATCTGCTGGTCTAGCCATCAGGCAAAACTCGTCTCCTCCCCAACTCCATCCAATGTTATGATGAATGGTTAGTGGATGTTTTCCTGTTGACTGTTTTCCTGATGTTTGGTAGGAAAGAGATGGAAATAAAACCAAGAGGTAGCCACCATTTTTTTCCTTAATCTGTTCTGTATTGTTTAGATAAGGACAGCAGTATTTGCTGACATCTTGCCTGTGACAGGATAGGGGCTGGCAAGGAGTTAGCACATATTTCACTAGTATCTTTTTATACTACCTCAAGGATTGATGGAAAGAAAGCACTTGGCCGTGAAGAAGACCCAAACTCAACATACTTCAATTGTAGAAGGATAGATTTGAGTTGAAGATTAGAAGAAATCTTTAATGATAAAAGCATTAGATCCTGCAATCTGGTACGGTGCTTTCTTTTAGAAGACTTCCAGCAGAAGCTAAGTACAGTAGTCACCTGTGGGACTGTATAAGATTGTGATCGGCATGTTTTATATATGCCATTCATTTTGTCCTAGGCTCCCAACTTTCTTGCCTGTTTATTATTTATATTTTTGGTTTGATAGATTAATCTCAACCTGTGTTCTGGTAACCAAACAAGAGATTTATTATTTTAATATGAAGAGCTCCTTTTAGAGGAACTGAATGTTCTAGGGGGAAAACCACAAAGGCTTCTAATTAAGTTCTTTTTTTCCCCCTCTCAATTCAGGTTTAGAACAAGGTCTGCTGAATATGTGTGTTGGGTAAGTAACTCCCAGTAAGTAACTGGAAATCTTTATAGGTAGTTGCTATACTCAGTCAAGCCTGCAACCTTCTCTGTTTTGAATTCTGTTTGTTTTCTGTGTAGAGCCAAGATGGGCTGCAGTTTCCAAGTGACAAACAAAAGCACTGTCTGCATTCAGAGATATTTTTCTTATTTGCTTGTTCAGACCACAGTGGAAAAATTCTGGTTCTTTAAATATTATAATGCTGCAGTCGACAGCATTCCTTACTAGAGACTGTA